GTGCATTTCGAGACTGTCCAAAAGCAATACCTGCCTCCGGATCCCAAAAAAGGAAACATAAATTTGCGGCCATCATCGTTGTTGTTGTGGTAGCTTGGCCCCGTCGCATGGTGTACCCGTGAGGATGTAGGTGACATGGTACGCCGGGTCGGACGAGGACCCGTTTGAGCTGTAGTGGATCCAGGAATGAAGAAAACCCCTGGCCCAATTTTTTCCCGACAACATGGAAAAACAAGGCCTTAAAACTATCTTATACCATTTCTAAAAAATACCTGATGTGAGAGCATATAAAATAAAGTACATTTTCTGAATAATTCTACAATTTAAACTTGATGCTCAATGCTCGCAGGAAATAGATAAAACATGACAGAAGTACAAATAGTAATAATGGAATACAAAAAATACCAAATCAATTGTTTACTTCATCAATCCGATAACTTGATCAACAGTAGAAGAACCAACACCTTCAAGGCATTTAAAAGTATATAATTTCATTAAAAACATAAACATCAATTGAAAACAATTGTCATCGATACAAATCTAAAAACTTACCACTTCAGCGAGGTAAAACCCCTTTGCGAGACCTATATGATTGAAACCGAAATAGAATATCATCATCATCAATACTTGCAAATACACCTTCAATACACCTTTTTTGTGAGCGCCGGTGAAAAAAACTCTTCATCTTCTATTTCTACAACATAAATGAAATTGTAAGTACATCAATTTGAGTTAAACAGATACGGAGTTCAACAGTACATCAATTTGAGTTTACAACACACAATACAATACTGAAACTGCGATCGGCTATCATTCTTCCTCCATGACTTAAGTACTGAACTTCGTACACAGGTTAGTAGGTTAAATTGCAAAGAGTGGCTTTTCTACACCCACGGTGCACCAACGTAAACATAACAAAATATTTTGAAAAAAAATTGAAACTTTGTGGGAATGATCACCAACAAATGTTACAGAGGCTTGCAAATTTTCATGGTCAAATGACATCCGAGGAGCTCTATACAAAAAAGACAAAATTACTCAAAATGTACGTGTTTGGCCAGAATTTGAATTTTTTTTGTACAGTTCTCCTGAGATGTCATTTGACCAGGCAAGCGTCCCTAACATTTGTTGATGATCATTTTCACAAAGTTTCAGATTTTTCCAAAATGTCTTGGTATGTTTTATTGTGTGGGTGCACCTTGGGTGCACCGGGATGGGATTCAACCACTACTTTCCCTCAATTGTAGAACATAGTACAAGTACAAACCGCTAAGAATCAAAGGAAATTATCAAGATGAGGTAGGGCAGGGGAGGAAGGGGATGGCGCGCAGCAGCGAACCACCCACACAGGGGCGGCGCTGGGCCGCCGGGGAGGGACCATCGTGGAGAACTGGATGCCAGACGGCGACGGCGCCACGACAGCCCTGTAGGGAGGCGGGCAGCCGACGGCGTGACCACTGCAGACAAGCGTCTCCTCTGCCGCTGTACGGTATGAGTTAGGTTGTTTTAGGCAAACGTATCCCTGCCCCAGAATACCTTGTCATGGTAGTAGCTGCATACCTAACTCATGGGCAGAAAATCTTGGCGTGTCCTCTGCCGCTGCTACCATGGAGGAAATAAGAGACCTTGGGGGAGTTGGAGTACCTGGGGAGGTTGAGGTCATGTCGTCGAGGTGGAGCTTGGTGGTGCTATTGGAGGTCGTGCCCAACATCAGGAGGTCAGGCGGGTCCACTCGGCACTCGTAGTAGGTTGAATGCTCCGCCATATGTCTTGGCCGGATCGAAGAGCTGGAGGTCTATATTCACGGGCAATAAGCCACGGCTTGGACGGGTCAGGCGCGGTGCGCGGTGTGCGTGCGGTGGCCGCGTCGAGTCCATCCGTGGCGGGCTCGGGCGTGCGTATGTGCGCGTGTCCGAGGGGGTGCGTGCGTGTGTGCGTGCGTGTGTGGGTTGATAGCGAGTCACCAGGGAGACCGCGTCCAACGCGATCGCGTGCGCGAGCCGGAGTGTGAGGGAGTGGGAGGTGGGTGCGTCGGTGCGCGACCCAGCGTGTCTGAGCGCGTGGGTATAAGATCCCCTCCATGCCTGTGTACTCGTTGCCCAGTTTGAGTTCGAACTCAAGAAGAAATACCGAGAAGCCGTACGCGCGACGGAGGTGTTTGTGCGCCTGAAATTTTTCGGTGTTCTTCCTCTACCCCTCGGACCTTGTCTCCGGTGATCGCCGGCGAGTAGTGGTTCCATTCCTGCAACATTTGGTGTCAGAGCTAGGTGAGAGAGGGAGGTCGCAGCCATGGCGCTCGTCCCGTACGCTGGAGGATCAGGGAGCTCGGTGTCGCAGCCGGTACCCGTGCTCACAGGGGTGAACTACACCACCTGGGCCATCAAGGTGGAGGCCGACCTGGACGCCGCCGGGCTCTAGGAGGCGGTGGTGCCGCCGGTGGACGCCGCCGCGGCGGTGATCGCCAAGAAGGATAAGCCGGCGCGGGCTTATCTGCTGCGGGCGCTCGCCGATGACCTGCTGCTGCAGGTGGCTGCGAAGAAGACGGCGGCAGAAATTTGGGCGAGTCTCAAGACTCGGTTCGTCGGCGCGGACCGGGTCAGGGCGGCGCGGCTGGCTACACTACGTGGCGAATTCGAGCTCCTTCGCATGACGGATGGCGAGACGCTGGACAACTACGCCGGGAGGATCGGGGCCATGGCGGCTCGCTACGCCGGGCTCGAAGAGACACTTGACGACGCTGCAATGGTCAAGAAGGTGTTGGACACGGCGCCGGACCGCCTGTACGCGGCGGTAGCTGGCATTGAGCAATTCTGCACCGTGGAGACCATGCCGTTCGAGGAGGTGCTCCGCCGGCTCAAAGCGTTCGAGGAACGTCTGCGGAGGCGCGGGCAAGTAGACGGCGAGCGGGCGGATGGCGAGCTCATTCTCACGGAGGAGCAGTGGCGTGCCAGGGAGCGCCAGCGCGGCGGCACACGGGACGAGGACGATCGGAGGAGCCAGGCGTCGGGCAGCGGAGGAGGACGGTGAGGTCGCTGCTACAACTGCGGCCAAAGGGGGCACTTCAAGCGCGACTGCACTCGTCCGAAGAAGGCGGCAGCGATGGCGGAGAAAGCACTTCTGGCGGACGCCAGCGTGGAGAACGACGGCCTGCTGTAGGCCGTGGCTTAGGAGGTGAAATGACGGGCAATAAGCCACGGCTCGGACGGGTCAGGCGCGATGCGCGGTGTGCGTGCGGTGGCCGCGTCGAGTCCAGCCGTGGCGGGCTCGGGCGTGCGTATGTGCGCGTGTCCGAGGGGGTGCGTGCGTGTGTGTGTGCGTGCGTGTGTGGGTTGATAGCGAGTCACCAGGGAGACCGCGTCTAGCGCTAGGAGTGGCCGTGGCGATCGCGTTAGAGCGCGTCGCGTGCGCGAGCCGGAGTGTGAGGGAGTGGGAGGTGGGTGCGTCGGTGCGCGACCCAGCGTGTCTGAGCGCGTGGGTATAAGATCCCCTCCATGCCTGTGTACTCGTTGCCCAGTTTGAGTTCGAACTCAAGAAGAAATACAGAGAAGCCGTACGCGCGACGGAGGTGTTTGTGCGCCTGAAATTTTTCTGTGTTCTTCCTCTACCCCTCGGACCTTGTCTCCGGTGATCGCCGGCGAGTAGTGGTTCCATTCCTGCAACAACATTTGGTGTCAGAGTAGTGGTTCCATTCCTGCAACAACATATATCTTGGTCGATTCTTGATGGGAAAGAAGATGGGAGAGGAGCGGGCAAGGGAGAGAAGATTAGAAGGGGTTGAAGCTAAGGAAAGGGAGAGAAATGAAGAGAAGATGAGTTGTGCTTTGAAGGATAGTTGCATCCCCGCCCTTCCTCCTCCCGTGTCGCCTCGCTCGCGACCGGGAGGAAACCCTAGCCGCAGCCGGCGGGGTCCCCTCTTTCTCCTCCTCC